TAGACTTATAATTTTTAGAATCTTATATAATCATAAGGTTGAATTTTTATACCACTTAGGTAAATAATTATTAATTCTAGTATAATAAGGAAATTAAGACAAACCCTAATTTTAAAATTTCTTTCTATATTATAACTAAGGATTTTCGTTAGGTAGTAATAGCGAGTATTATTTAGGGAAAGGGTTACGCCCCCTTATTTAAAAGTATTATATTCGCGGTTATATTAAGTAGTAAGCCCACTAAAGAGGACGCTCTTAGCGACGAATAAAATTTTAGCCCGGAAGAAGAGGGATAGGGAGAAGTTATAAGTAAGAATAGTAAGTTTAGAAAGAATATTAATAAGAATAAATATATTTCCTCTTTATCTTTATTAATGAATAAACGATTGTATTAATCCTTATATAAATTCTATAAGTAGTTGGGCTATAATTTAAATAAATATTAGTAGATTAAATTATAATTAGTTTATAAAGGTTAAATTAAAAGTCTTACTATGAAGAAGTGTGCGTACCCTAATTTATAGAAGGATAAATATTTAAAGAAATTATTGACCGTTTGCGAATATAGTGGGACAATAAAGATTAAGATAATTAATTCTATAATCGCCGGGTAAGTAAAAGTAATTTCTTAATACCTATAGCGAAATATAGCGTTGTATATTTACTAAGAAATTCTATAATATTCAATTTAAATACGATAATATATATTTTTAATAAAATTAATTATTTTAAAGACTTTACCTCTTTAAATATTAGTAATTACGTATAGGCGGGAGATAGGCGGATTCCTATAGAGGGGTATAATATTATTATAATTATAATTTAAAACGGCGACGGAAATAGAGAGTTTTAATTCCCTAACGTCATTCTAATACCAGGTATAATCTGTAACTTCGTCTTCTTAAAATAATTTGAGGATAAATAAATTTATTAGGACTATAAGAATAATTACTTACGCTCCCGCTTTACGGACTCCCTTTTTTATTATATTCTTCTTAAATATAAGTAATTTATTTTAAAATACATCTTTCTATGGAATAGCGTTAACGAATTTTTTTTCATTATACGGTATATAAATTATATTAAGCGGAAATTCTAAGAAGGTAAGCCCATTCGCGAGTATTTTTAATTTAATTACCCGGGACCCGAAATTTTAATTAAATTAACGGAGTAAAAGTATAGCATATAAATTAAAGGACCGGATATAATATATTACGAACTATGTATTAAAGTTAAGTTAAAGCGCTAGATATATAGAAAAGTTCGTAATTATTTAGAAGGCTTTAAATTATAATTAACTATTAATTTCTTTTTTTATGAGGAGGTAAAGGTAGGAGGTTAGAAATATTTAAATTTAATAGTAATTATAAATTAGTAGTCTAAATTCATTTAAGTATATTATTTGGGTAATAAGGAAAGCTGAATCTATTATTACATATTTAAATTCCCTTTATATAGGGTTATGTTTTTAATATTAAATTATATCTCGGGTAGTCAAATATAATAATAAAATAATTAATAGTAAGAAGATTACTATTTAATTTATTATAAAAGGAATTAATATCGAACCTTTAACGTTTTATGCATAAATTTAAAATAATAATATAGAACGTTTAGGGGGTATAATTAAGACTAAGAGTATAGTAATGTAATTAAGTATAAATTTTCTTTACGAACTATAAATAGAATTTATTAGAGTAGTTATATATTTATATAATTCAACCCTTAAGGCGGAATATTATTAGAAATGTTCCCAAGACCGGTTCGAAACGTACTATTAATTTAAAGACGGTATCGTTCCTTTATTAAACCCTTCCCTTATTATCGTATACCTTAAAACATATAACTATAAAGTTTTTATTCTTATAATAGAAATTATAAAAGAATAGAAGAAATTAATAATGTTTAAGAATTATATTTAAATTGGTTATTTAGTTGAATATTAATTAATAAATATCTATAGGATCTAGAATCCTTATACTAATTTTATTATTATTATACGAAACGTTGTATTTAATAAAAACGAGGTCTTCCCTAGTAATAACGTTAAAAAAATCTATAATACCCTTAATATTTCCCTTAAAAAAATTAGGTATATAATTAAAAGATTTTTATTAAATAAATATTGTGTAAGTAAACCTCTTATGAATCGAGGCTATATTTATTATAAATAATGGACTTTTTAGCCCCGTTATTCAAGACTTTCTTATTAAGACCGAAAATATATTAGGGAAAGAGGAGGAATTAGGATTTCTAGAAATATAGACGCAATTTAAATTTCTAAAAATCCTGTAAGGATTAGAAATATAATTATAAATAAATCTAAAAATATTATAAGGATTTTTAAAACCTTTACTATCGCTAACCGTATAATCGTTATTAGATTTTTAAAATATAGTCTTAAATTTAAAGAATAAAGAAAAGGGCTATTTCTTTATATTTTTTAAAAGCCTAACCGCGTTTCTAATAACTAACCTCTCTTATTCTAACGAATATTTATAATTAATTATAAACTAATACTTTTATTAGGCCGCATCGTTCTTATTTATAAAGGGCAATCGACCGGTAGGACTTTAGGGAAATAAGGTCGTAAATTAAACCTTCTTAGAAAAAATAAGAACAAAGCGTATCGATATCGATTCCGGTTACAATTTTAAATTAAAAATAATAAAGGAGATTATTAACCGCTATAGAGTAAAAGGTATATTAAAGACCTTCTATTGAATTAAATTCCTACTTCTTTTAGAGTACTATAGTAATTTTGATTCTTATCCCTTTAAAGAATTCTTTAAGGATATAAAAAATGAATACCTAAACGAGTATAAAGATAAGAAGTTTTAAAAGTAGATTAATATTAAGGAAGTAGGAAATAACGAAATACTCGGTTCGATATAAATATATATTTTTAAATTCGATTAAAACGGCTGGTTTTTTAAATATAAAGTACGTCTAGTTGTATATAGGGATTTAAGGATAGCGTATATAAAACGTACGTAGCGATTCTAATTATTAGGTCGTTTTATATCCTAATAATTATAGCTGTTTACTTTAATTTCGATTTAATTTAGTACAATATAAAGAATACCTTTATTAGTATTATATTCGATAAGGTAATATTTATGAAAGTTCCTCCTAAGTATATTAAGAAAGGTTAAATATTTTAATTATTATACGCGCTATATAGTTTACAGAGATTTCCCTTCCTTTAGTAGTAGGAATTTATTAAAACCCTCGTAATTATAAGTATAAACCTTTTCTTCATAGAGCCTAGTATTTTAATTAAAGATAATATATTCTTCTTCTTGTATATTAATAATATTATTGTTATTTATAAATTTAGGAATAAAGAAATCGTTATAATTAAAAGGGTAGTAGCTATTATAGAGAGGAAGTATTAATTAACGGATAGAGAGTTATTAAAATAGTTTTTAAATATTAAAATCATTTAAAATTGAAAGAAGAAATTAATTTGATTATTATAGTATAATTATATTTAAAAGATTATAGAAAAGGTTAAATATATAAAGAAATTATATTCTATATTTATAATTAAGGAAAAACTCTTATTTTATTAAAATAGTATAACCCTATACGAAATTTATATATATTAAATTAAAATCAGTTCGATTTTCAATATTACTATTACGTCGCGATTAGACGTAGCCTTCCCGGTTTCTAAATTCGTTCAATGTAATTTAAATCCTAATTTAATATATTATATAATTATAGATAGAATATTCTTCTACCTTCTAGTAATCTAAAATTATATCCTTTAATTGAATAGTATAGACCGTTAGGATTTTCATATTATAATTAATTCTTTATTTATAAATAATTCTCTTAATCGAAAGAATTTATAAGTATTCATATTAAAACTATTAGGCGCTATTATCGATTAATATATTAATACACAAAATATAATTATAATTTTATTTATAGAGGTTGAATTATTATCTTTTAATGAAGAAGTTGAGGAAGTAATTTACGCCCGCCGTCTCTTTAATAAATTTACCTTAGGATTCGAAACTTAAGAGGCTACATTTATAGATTATAATAATAAATAAATAATTTAATTTATTATAAAGGAGGGAGTTCGGTTCGTAATTAAATTTAAGTACGTTGATATATATAAATATTAGTTAAAGTAAGCGTAGGAGAAGAAATTAATAAATATAATTTACATACTTATTAAGAAGTAGATTGCGGATAATGATATAAAGAGCTTCCTTCCTATAGTATATTTAAAATTTATAGAATAATGAGGATTCGTAGAATTATAGCGGCTATAGATTTAATTACAAAAATTTAATAGTGGAGATATTGTTATAAGCTGCTTAAAGGGTATAGAGGATTTTATAAAGGAGGATTCGGGCAATAAATCGGTAAGTATAACGGTAAGTATAATAAAGTAAGATTTTTACGAATGAAAGTTTGAAAGCTATTGTAACGAGGAAGTAATTTAGGAATAGTATTATTTTTAGTTAATTTTAGGAGGATTTTAGGGCATTTCAGGGCATATCTAGGTAGATCTGGCGTAGTTTGTACACTAGATCTAAGGGGGTATATTAAAGGCCAGGGGATCTATTGGGCGTATACGTGCCCAATTGGGCTGGGATATGCGGGATTTATCCAGATGCCAGAGCTTCGAGTCTGTAGAGCCAGTCTTATACACAGGCACACAATCAAGCCACGTTGAACCTATATCGATCATTACCAGTAATATCACAGACTTTCAGTGGACTTTGACCCCTGGCCCAAGCACCCTGCAGGCCCGGAACTGGGACCGAGATCCACCGGGACATCCCGTCCAACGCCCCGGCTGTCAAATGTATGCTTATTGATCCCAAGTGAGATGGAACCTCTCGTTTGTGATATTAATGCTCCAAAATTGTGGGTTATTGAGCGTGTATGTGCGTCTATATTCTAGATGGTAAAAGACATGTATACATGGGAAGATGTGAAAGTTTATGCAGTCTAAGAACCAGGAAGCTCTATCCCCTTCAAACCCCCAAATTGTCCTGCTTAAACACAATCAACGCCAACCGATGCCTCACAAACAACCCAAACAGTCCCACCACCACCTGCATCCCCGTAATCTCCATCGCCAGCCTATCCTCCCGCAACGGACCCCTCCACACCAACCACAAGTTCAAAATCGTAAAGTTACTCGTCTCCACGAACCTGCCCTCCTCATCCAGCGTCACCCGCAACAACTTTAGCTTATCAAGCGTCTTCAGCGCCCACGCCACCGGCGGCTTCGGTTGTCTCTCAGGTGTCCAGGGGGTAACGCTCGGCTCCAACAATCCCGTGCGCGCATTAAACCGCGGCAGACGATGGCGCGGACAGGGCACCAGCCCAAACAGTTGCGGAACCGAGTACACAAAGTTGAAGATCTGCGGAATCAAGAGCAGGATCAACGTCTTGCTGAAGTGCCCCAAGATGCTGACCACCACAAAGACCATGCCCGCAAAATAGCAGTACGTGTCCCCGACAAAGACGCGGGCGGGGTACCAGTTGTGCCAGAGCAGCGCGAACGAGACGCCCAAGAAGGGGATAAGGAAGTAAAGCGAGAACAAGTGGGAGTCGGTCGCCGGGTGCAGGTAGGGCGTCAAAAGGTAGAGACAATCGTTGAAGGCGAGCAGCAGGGCGATGACGATGGACTGTGAGACTTCGATGCCGTTGATTCCCGCCAGGATGTTGATGCTGTTGGGGCTGAAAATGGCGACCGAGGCCATGTAGACGTAGTAAAGCGCGCCGAGGTTGAAGAGTTCGCCGAGGTAGGGTTGCAGGGGGAGCGGGATCACGACCGAGGTGACGCCGAAATCGACAAAGTAGACCACGAGTAAGGGAATGGAGGCGAAGGCCGGGATGAAGAATTTGTGTCGCCAACGGATGTCGAAGAGGTCGTCGCCGATGCCGAGGAGGGAGATGGATTGGAGGGCCATGACGGCGGAGAGGTACGAGGCGAGCTGTTGTCGTCAAGTGTTAGCACTTGTCATTCTTACTCTTTCTGGACTGAAGGACAAGATACCTTTGAATGAGGAAACCGATGTAAGAACCTCCCCTCCTGTACATGCTCGACATGCATCACCACATCCCTATTCCCGCCTCCGCTAGTCGCCGCCACGATGTCCTTGTAAAACGGGAACGGGATAAAGATGATAACCGCCAGCAAGTACACCATGGCCGCTATCGCGCCCATGCACTCGGGCAGCTCCTTCTTCTGGTGTTTGCTCATATCCACGCCCTTCAGGCCGGCTTTCATAAAGGTTGGCCCGAGCCATCGGATCATGGAGAAAGTTGCGCTGAATGCCAGCCCGCTGAGCGCGAGCGAGGCAATGAGTGGGTAGCCATCGCCTTGGAAGGTGTTGGCGAGGACGGCGACGCAAGCGGCGGAGAGGGCGAGAAGAGAAAGGCTCTCGGCATGCGAGAGCGAGTTGGGTGAGTTATGGTGATGTTGGTGATGTCCCGTCATCGTGATATCTGCGACGATTTTCGTAGTTCGGGGAATTCGGGGAATTCGAGGAGAAGTTCGAGGAGAGAGGTAGCGAATGCGTGATCGCGAGCTACCTAGTCATTTGGGGTAGCATTGGTCGCTTATCGTAGAAAAGGTAAGGAACGTCGGTGTCGGATCGATCGATCGAATTGGTGTTGTTCAAAGCGCAAAATGAGTGGTGGCGCGAATTGAATCGTGAACGTAAACGCGAAGATGAATTGGAAATCGGAGGAAAGAAAGACAAAAAAGACACATGTCCAAAATGACGATATGCACCCGTAATTGTGGGGAGCTTCGGCGCGTTCCAGCCTTGTGGACCTGCTGATTGCCGTGGTGTTACAGGGGTTTCGGTGGTGTGGTGAGACAGGGGTTGAACGCCCGTTTAATTGACCTCTTTTCCCATTGGACAGTGAAAAGGGGTAACCATTATCACATGAAAAGCAAGCCGACATCAAGCATAAGAATAACTTCATGTTGATGAGCCTTCATAGATGGTCGTTGAACAGAGATATCTCTCTAGTTCCACCAGAAGCTAACACTAAAACTAACACTTAACCCCCTAACATAATGCCACGACCCAATCGGTATATAAAGCGTATCACCCGGCTCCAAGATACAGTCCACAAACGGCACCTTTTTGAAGTCGTCCTCCCAGCCCTTTTCATTATTCTCTTCCTCCCCTTCCTGCCCTTCCTCCTTCTCCTCTCCCATTCCCTCTCCCTCCAGCCTATCCCACCCCTCAACAACCCCCAAATCAACCTTACTAGTATTCCCCATCTCCACGCCCCCCTCCTTTCCCCTCGGCCTCATCCTCCCCGTCATCTCCGGCCCATACAACCGCACATACTTCTTCCCCACCACTTGCACCAGCAAGTTATGATACGGATCCGTATGCAGCGGCGTGATCGTGCCCGGTGGCCCAAACCAGGCATTAAGTTGCGGCGAGTCAAGTTCCGGTTGATCCTGCGACGGGTCCGTGGGGTGTGGAGGAGGCGCGGTGTAGCAGAGGTCCGGGATCAAGATGTCTTGGCGCAAACGGGGCAGTTGGAGGAAGAGGGGGTGTTGGGCTAGGTAGGCTATTTGGGTTTTGTCTTCAGGGGACTTCGGTTGGGCTGAGGACGAGGAGAAGGAAGGGGAAGTGTTGGAAGAGGAAGGGGTGAAAGAGATGGAGGCGTCAATGTACTTGGACAGGAATTCGCCGAATGAGATGATCTTCTGACCCCATCCTTCGTCGACATAGCTGCGGCCGATCTCGACGGGGACAAGCCGCCGGCCGGAGAGCGTGCGAGATAAGAGGTAAGCTGGCTTGTTCCAGGGGTGCGTGGTGAGTGCCGGCCAGTGGTCTACTAGACCTGTGATGACCAGGGGAGCTGGGCCTGGGCCTCCGTCTGGGCGAGGTTTCGTGAAATAGGACTGAAAAGCTTCGATGGAGAGGGATTCGGCAGAGACTCGTGGGATTGGGTTCTTGACAGGCGGCGTGAAGGGTTCGACGGTGAAAAACGAGGGGGTGTTTTGCCAGCTGTCGTTGATTTCTTCCATCACTTCGTCTTTTGTGTTGGGAGACTCTGGTGATAGACGTCGCTTCTTCTGTGGCCTTTCACCTTCCTGCCCGTTATCATCCCCCTTCGCTCCACCAGCTGTAGCCATCATAGCTGTCCTATCCCTCAAAACATCCTCCAACAGCCCAAAAGCCTCATCTACCCACCTCCTGCCGCGACTCTTGCCCGCAGCTCCAGCCAGTATCAAACTCAGATCCAGCGTCTTGACCATCTCATCGACCACCCTTTCCCTCTTTGTTTTTTTCTCCTTCGCCTTCTCATCATCGTCCCCCTCCGGTTCCGCATCAGCCTCAAAGTCAAACTCGAGCAAAAACAAAACCGCAAACCTCAAAATCGCCGCATCCGTATAAAGCTGTCGCCAACAGGTCGGCACCTCCTTGTACAGATACGCATAAAATTTGCCATATGCGGTCTTGGTGAGAAGTTCGAGTCTTCTTTTCACCAGCGAAATTGCTTTTTCGCGCTCTGCTTTGGTTTTGAAGTTGGCATTATTGCTGGGAGGACCAGCGTCGCCTGAACTGGATCCATAGAGCTGTAAAATTCTCGACGCTTGTCGGCACAAGAGTTCGACTAGTGGTTCTTCGCAGCCTTCCAGTCCGCAGAGATGGACCCTCCCGGTGCTATCGACGTTGGGTGGAGGCTTTGGTGGACTTGCATGGTGACGAGGTGATGATGATGATGGAGAATCAGGTTCGTCGTCAATCGTGTGGGCGCATTCTTGAATGATCTGTTGGGCTGCACTTAGGCAAAGATGGATGAGTTTTGACGTTGGCGTGGTTGTCATTTTTCATTGACATGAACTTGCCAACGAGATGATACTCGTTAGGGCTAGAAACGCCTCAGTCTGACCCCGTGCTGGCACGGGGTTAGGCAGATTGATTCGCGAATGTAGATTGATTCGCGAAAATTCTGGTACTTCCCCGCCTATACAAACTAGCGGTATAACCATATCACACCAATTTTTTGAAAAGCGCTGCATACGTACATGTAATATCGCTCAACCTAATAAACATCCTTATATTAGACTAGCAAATCAATAAAATAGGGTCGATATTCTTATTAGAAATTTCGATAATTTTAATATTACTACTTTCTAGTGTAGTATTTGTTATAGATTCCTCTACTATAGAATCTAGCTATATATTAGAGTCTTACTCTTCAATTAGCGAGTTGAGAGGAAGTTCTTATCTATACTTTGGTCTATAGTAATACGTACCCTTATCGTTCTTACGCAGTATTTCGATATGCTCTTCCTATATTAGACCATAAGATTCCTCCTCCTCTTCCTCTTTAAATAGAGGAAACTTATCCTCTTTAGCTTTAATAAGTAGCTCTTTACTAGTAATAAAAGCAGTAATAACCTTTTCGATAATGGTTTCGATAAGTGAATTATAAATTTATAGAATAATAGGCTTTAATCTATTATTTGATAGTATTTAATAGAGGGGGAGGATAATATCCTTTTTTAATTTACCTAATTGCGTTACTTTTATTTAAATAGCTTCCCTTTTCGCTTCTTAATAGTACTTTTAACGCTTTTATTATATAAATTTATTTTACTTAAATAATTAGTTTTAATCTTTAATTTTATTTAAAATTAAATTAATTACTATATTCTATTCTATACGAAATTTACTAATAAATTGTAATTTAACCATCTTATTCTAGGTTTTATTCTATTGCTCGGTTTTATACGTACTAAGCCACTTTCGTAAGATAATCCTTTCAATATCGAGATCCTTCTTACGCTAGCGTAGCTTCTTTTTAGTACGTAATTCAATTCTATAATATTCGTTTATTACTATACGAAGACGAATATTATTAATTTTAATAGGATTAGCGTAAGTAATTAAATAGTTAATTATATAGTTTTCCCTCTATATAATTTCTTTTGATTACCTCTTTTTTTTAAACTATTATACTTCTATATTAGTAACTCCTATTAGTATGATTACTTTAATGGATTTATCCCTCTTAAATATAATATACTTTATAATAGGATTAAGGGGTATCTTCGCTACGCTTAATTTGAGTAATCCTTATTGAACGTACGTATTATACCCTAAAATCGTAATTATATTTAAAGGGGGTATTATTGCTTTCGCCTAATCTTTTTTAATATAAAGTATTAATAGAGGTATTATTATACTATAACCCTTATAAGGGTTATTAATATTGAATTCTTTAAGTCGTTAATTTAATATAAGGTTTATAAGTCCTTTCTCCTTCGCCTTTACTTATAAAAGGGCTCGATTATCTATAATTTCTTTTGATTTAAATTAAGCCTCTTCGTTTTTAATTATAATATATCCCTTATTTCTTTTTAAAATGTTTAGATTAGTTACTAATATGAGGGGGTTTTATAATTTATTAAATATAACTGAAGGTTTATATAGATAAAGTTTATACTTTATTTAAGCGGATTATATAATCGATTATTTGAAAGATTCGCTTTTAATATAAAATAACCTATTTAAAAAAGATAATTTAGTATATTCTATATTACTATACATTATTGTTTTAAGGATATTTCTTTAATGATAGTACTTATAGATTTGAAATACCCTTATATCAAAAGGTTAAAAGATATAAGTTAAGTAAGAGGGGAGGAGAAAGAGGATAATATTATATTAGCAGCATCGCTAATAAAATTTAATAGTATAATAATTACTATAATTATTTAGCAGTAGGAGACGCTTCTTTTTTTTATTAAAAGGACGAGAGTGCTCCTCCTAGTAATTAAATTAATTGAGGGTAAATTAATTATTAATATAATTATTAAGCAAGGTAGCGATAATAGAGTAATTATTAAGTCGGTTATCGATATAGTTTTTACTAATATTTATATTAGGAAGAATAATAAATACGGGGACCATACGGTTAGAAGTAAAAATATATTCAATAACTATTACTATTTTTCGAACGTTTAGATTTGGAGTATATATAATCGGTATTTTAATATACAATTAAATAATATAGGATTTAAATTGTATACCGACTCTAAATTTAAATTTATCCCTATTCTATATAATATTAGGTATAATACTATTCTTATCGACTGTCTCTTTCTATAATTTAAATACCTCTTCTATACTAATTCGAAATTAAATTGCCTTACGTACCTACATTAGCGATTTCGTACGTACGGATTTAAATTCTAACCGAATTATAAATTCGTAATTTTATTACCGGTTAATACTAATTTTACGGCCGTTAATGCGAGTAAGCTACTTCGTCGCGTATATAATTTCTTTATTAGTAACTTTATATCTTAATTAAAATAATTAATTAACGAATAATAATAATTATAAACAAATAATAGCAGTTGTAAATGGTAGGTATTAATTAATAGATATTTACGTATTTACTTAAATAAATAATACGAATTCTTCCTCTTTAATTAATTTTTTTACCCCGATATTCTACGGTTACGGTTTAGCCTCCTTTAAGCGATTTACAGTAGCGTAATAGTTGGCGCTATAAGTTCGCGCGGTAACGGCGACCGTTTTAAACCTTTTATCTTTTAGCGTACGAACAGTAAAATCAATACACTATTTATTCGAAAAATAGCAAAAAGGTTATTAACGGGTTCTATAGTATACAATTTTATAATAAAGTAATTGGATTATCGATAGAATGGATATAATATATAGAATAAGAGCCGGGTAAAACGGCAATATACGAAAGTACTAAATAATTAGAGAGAATTAAAAATAATTAAATTATTTTCTATACACCGTTTAATACGTTAGAAAGGCGGTAGCGCGCGCTAACCAATTAAAATTTTATATTAGTTACCTTATTTAATATTAAATACTTAAATGCCCTTATATTAACCATTCCTAGAAAGTAGAATTGAACGTTTTAGCAATTTATAATAGATTTATACAGTAGTATAAATTAGATTGCTTATAGTGGGTATGTAAAAAAACAGATGTATATTAATTTGCTAACAAATTACATAGTTAACTATATACCTAGATTTTTTCGCGAATCAATCTGCCAGACCCATTACTACGTAATGGGTCCTAGAGGCGTTTCTAGCCCAGACGAGTATAGGGTTTGTTTACTTTGCGAGGAGTTGTAAGAGGATAAAAAGGGGGAAGCTTGAAAGAAAGTGACCAACCAGGTTGAACAAACCCACCTTGTGTCTTATGCACGCTTTGATGCATGGTTTATGCAACTTGTGCACGGGCACTCCTCATTGGCCGATGTGATGATTATTAATAGCAACATCACGGCACACTGGGCTTGTGTAACCTCAAAAGTTAGGAGACGTTCCGACATTGAGAAACCGCAACCCGGCAACGGGGATAGCTCCGGTGATTCAAAATGAAAGGAGGTTGAAAAACGCAAACACTGTGCCGCGAGCAAAAATTCCGTGGAGAAAAACCAACGCTGCTTTCATTCAACCCTGAATTTGAAGTGAAACCCGCCCAATGACATGATCTGATCGTGGAGCACCAAAAACTCTTCCTGTATGGTGGGAATGGTGGCGCCCTTGGAGCGGTGGCCGGAACCCTTCTGGGCAGTCCTTTTTTAGGCGTCACTGGCACACCACTGGAGTGTCCGAGTGACTGCTTCTCGTCAGCTTCCTGCAGTTTGCACTTTGCACCAGCCAACGCCCACCCCCCCGACGGACGCCCCAAGCGTCGTCGCCCATTCTCGGGTCCCCTCGGTTTGGCCCCACCCCCTTACCCGACAACTCGGGTTCGGCCCTTGACTCAGATCCAAATGATCCAAACTGTCGGGTTCCAAGGTGGGCAAAAATAACAAAGGTCGTGTCGTGCTTACGTACTGCGCATGCAAATCAACGGCTGCGCGCTTGTTGGGAAGTGGAATCCGATTCCGGACCCGACAGTATGGTTTGACTGAAAAAGGCGATGTGACATGTCGACATCGAAATCGAAGTAACACCTTAGAATCAGAATTCTGTCTTTTGTTTACCGCTTCCTCGCCCAATTTCCCTACGTCTGCTGCTGCTGACTACTGCCGAAACTGGTTGTACTGGGATTCGCACTCAATGGCGGCTTCTGGCCTATTATGAAGTACATCAGGACCTGCGCATGGACCCGCCGGTCGTTGAGCACAGCCTTCACACTGCTTTGGAGTTCCTCTCTCTCCTTCTCCTCCATTCCGTTTTCGATGAACGGCCTTGCCGACATGGCAACACATAGGTCCATGCTTACCTCCTTCATGAGCCGGCCTATGATGCGCTGATGCTGATCCCTGGGCCACTCACCCACCGGTACGTGCATGACGGTTTTCCGCACGTTAATGAAACCTATTCTTTGCATCAACTCTGGGAGGTGCTCGGCGATATCAACCTCGAATCCGTATCTGCTTGAGAGAACCTCGCTCCCTACTTCATGAAATCTCAACAGCGCGTGATCAGGGTTAACGGTGTTATCATCGCTGAAAACGTGCGGGTTCACTTCTACGGACTCGACCCAACCGCCAGGCTTGAGGTTCCTGCGCAGTACAGATTAGCGGGATTTAAACAAAGGTGACGGATGACAGCGGTAGTCTTACTCGAATATCCTCCGGAATAGCGTTGCGTTGTCCTTGAGCGTAACACTGACATAGCGCAGATGGATAAACTCAAAGTCCGAGTCTTGCACCCATTCGTCTTCGATATCGTCTACCACAAACTCGACATTTGGCGGGATCCAGACAGGTTGAATTGGAGACAAGTCAACGCCTACTACTCTGGCGCTAGGAAACATCTCTCCCACTGGCAAAGTGTTAGTTTGACGTACGAACGAAGCGAAAGTGGCGCACCGCAATTCTTCTTCGGTACGTACTCTCGATAGCCCAGTCGCCAAATCCGGTCCCAAGGTCGGCAATCTTTTGGGGATGATTTCCGATCGGCGCAACAAATAGCTTTCCTTTCAGCATCTCCTTGAACATGGCATGTCGCATGTATTCGCGGTTGTACTCGAGGTCGTCGTTGGGTAATGGGTATCTTCCTTCGCGAAACGTATGGTATCGCCTGGACCAAGCATTAGCAACGGCACTCACAGACGAAGAGTGTCGAGTAACCCTTTCCCTGATACGTACCTTCCATATTCCCAGATGTGGTCGTTCACGCTGGATGTGAGAGAGCCATACCGCGACTCGGCTATGCTGGGGTCATAATCCGACGTGGCTGTATCCTCCCCGCTCTGCCATTCGCCCTCGGCCAGTGGCTCAATAACGCCCGCACCTTGTTCCATCTCGTTGTCGTCAAGTTGTCCAGAACAGATCTCCTCTTGATTCTCCGGGTTGATGTTTGATTCGATCCTGCCTATCGTAAGTACCGAGTGTCAAAGCTGGAGATGCATGATCCACCTTACCTTGGACAAAGAATCTGTCGCCTCGCTGTTGGATTCGCTTGGATGGTTGATGTTCTGGAAAGGCCGAGGAAAGTTGTAGATAAGGAAGAAGAACACCTTGCCGGAGAGATCGTAGTGGATCAGGTAAAAAGAAACCGAAACTGGGGCTCGAGGAAGACGCTGCCAATAGGTGCTTGTTGTCTTTTGGGTCAGCCTGGGAAGAGACTCGTCACTCACTTGGGCTTGTCGGAGAAGCCCCGACCAAGCAGAAGAGAGAGACCAGCAGCCGGGGGAAAGGGAGAAAATGTCTGATACTGGAGACATATCAAGTCCCAATGAAGAGCTTCAAAAGGCGGAGTGCCGTGGATACTCGGGGCTTATACACACAGTAGACACCGCAAAGAAAGGAATAATTACCTGGGCTATGAGGGGCGTGTAGAGAGCGGAGTGGGTATGATAAGTTACCGGGGCGCCAATCAAGGGGGGAAGGATCTCTAATGACATGGGCCGGATGCATATGAGAAAACGCCATCTATGCATCTCCAGCACCAGCGCACCGAGTAGCCCGAACTCGGGTCTCAGTCAGGCTCCGTCTGCTATGTGCTAAGGGCCAAGAAACCTGAAGCATTGCCGCGCTAAGAGGTCCCTATGGCCTTATGTACGAAGCCGGCAACGTACCAGTAGCGTCCCGGTAGCGTAGCCAGGACACATAGCGTAGCACCTAGCAAGCCGGTTCGGCAGACGAACCCCTCCCCCAGCTCTCGATGCATCATCCCACAACCGAACCGCCGGGAGCCGCAACAGAGCCCACCGTGCTGGGACAGTTCCAGTCTGACACCCCCCTGGTCTCGGGCGGTAGGCCAGGGAGCAAGTTGCCAGGGCCCCAGGAGAGCCAATCTGCCCGGCCGTGTCTACACACACCACACCCAGCAACCCTGACACACAAAGGGAGGACCAAGCCTGTTACCGACCTGTCGGGTGCGAGTGCATAGGCATTCCGGTAGAAATTGGTATGGGATGTGCGAGAGCCACCATGGAAGAGCGAGCAAGGGCATGATTATAGAATAGGATGTCGTCCCCGAAACAATCGAACTTGCACCGAGGCCGCTTGGCCCATTGGCTTGTTTCGTTTTTACACCTTTGAACAAGCAATGACAAATCCTTTCCGTATGAGGTGATCAACCCTTTTCCATGGCCATGTGGTAGAAAGGGAATTCCCAGAGTGACGGATCATGGAATGAGACTGGAAACTTTCAGCCGCCTGACAGGCCCGGAAATGGAGGTTGTCGGGAATCTAGGAGGGATCGGAGTGGACGATATCGGGGGACGGGGCGAGTCCTGTGATATTACTGGTAATAATCGATATGGGGTTCAACGTGGCTTGATTGTATGTGTGTGTGTAAGACTGGCTCTGTAGACTCGAAGCTCTAGCATCTAGATAAATCCCGCATATCCCAACCTAATTGGGTACGTATACGCCCAATAAATCCCCTAGCCTTTAATATACCCCCTTAGATCTAGTATACAAACTACGCCAAATCTACCTAAATATGCCCTAAAATACCCTAAAATCCTCCTAAAACTAGCTAAAAATGATATTATTCTTAAATTACTTCTTTATTACGGTAACTTTTAAACTTTTATTCGTAAGAATCTTACCTTATTATATTTACTATTATATTTACTAATTCATTACCCGAATCCTCCTCTATAGAATCTTCTATACCCTTTAAGCAGCCTACAATAATATCTCTACTACTAAACTCTCGTAATTAAATTTATAGCCGTTATAATTCTATAAATCCTAAATACTCTATAGATCTTAAATATATTGTAAGAAGGAAGTTCTTTATAAAGCTATCTACGATTTACTCCTTAATAAATATATATACTATATTTACTAACTTTTTCTCCTACGTTTACTTTAATTAATATTTATATATATCAACGTATTTGAACTTCATTACGAGCCAAATTCCTTCCTTTACAATAAATTATATTATTTATTTATTATTATAACCTATAAGTATAGCCTCTTAATCTTCGAATCCTAAAGTAAATTCGTTAAAGAAATAGTAGGCGTAAATTACCTCCTTAACTCTTTAATTAAAAGATATTAATTTAACCTCTATAAATAAAGTCGTAATTATATTTTATTTATTAGTACGCTAATGAATAGTAGCGCCTAATAATTTAAATATAGATATTTATAAATTCTTTCGATTAAGAGAATTATTTATAAATAAGGAATTAATTATAATATAAAAGTCCTAACAGTCTTTACTATTTAATTAAAGGGTATAATCTTAAATTATTAGAAGGTAGAGAACTATTTTATTTATAATTATATAATACGCTAAATTAGGGTTTAAATTAAATTAAGCGAATTTAGAGACCAGGAAGGCTAGGTTTAATCGTAACGTAATAGCAATATGGAGAATCGAACCGATTTTAATATAATATATATAAATCTCGTATAGGGTAATATTATGTTAGTAAAATAAAAGCTCTATTTTAATTATAGGCGTAGAATATAGCTTCTTTATATATTTAATCTTCTCCGCGATTCTTTATATATAATTATACTATAATAATTAAATTAGCTTCTTTTTTCCATTTTAAATAATTTCGATATTTAAAAACTACTTTAGTAACTCTTTACCCGTTAATTAATACTTCCGCTCTATAACGGCTACTACCCCCTTAATTATAGTAATCTCTTTATTTCTGTTTTAATAAATGATAACAATGTTATTAATATAGAAGAAAAAGAATATATTATTTTTAATTAGGATACTAAGTTCTATAGAAAGAGGGTTTATATTTACAATTACAAAGGTCTTAGTAAATTCCCATTATTAAGAGGGGAGATCTTTATAAATTATATAGCGCGCGTAGTAATTAAAATACTTAACCTTTTTTAATATACTTAGGGGGAGCTTTTATAAATATTACTTTATTAAATACAATTTTAATAAAGGCCTTCTTTATATTATATTAAATTAAATCGAAATTAAAGTAAGTAGCTATAATTATTAGGATATAAAATAATTTAATTGTTAGAATCGTTACATATATTTTATATACGCTATTTTTAAATTATTAGTCCTTATGTATAATTAAACGTACTTTATATTTGAAAAACCGGCCGTTTTAATCGAATTTGTAAGTATATACCTATATTAAACCGAATATTTCGTTATTTCCTACTTCCTTAATATTAATTTACTTCTAAAACTTCTTATTTTTATATTCGCTTAGGTATTCCGTTTTTTATAGCCTTAAAGAATTTTCTAAAAGGATGAGAATTAAAATTACTATAATACTTTAACAAAAGTATGAAATTAATTAGATAAAGGGTCCTCAATATACCCTTTACTCTATAGCGGTTAATGATTTCCCTCATTATTTTTAATTTAGGATTATAGCTGGGATCGATATCGATACCCCTCTTTTTTATTTCTTCTAAGAAAGTTTAGTCTACGACCTTATCTCCTTAAAGTCTTATTAATCGATTACCCTTTATAAATGAAAACAACGCAGCTTAATAAAAGTATTAATCTATAGTTAATTATAAATCTTTATTAGAATAAGAGAGGTTAGTTATTAAAAACGTAATTAGGCTTTTAAAAGGTATAGGGAAATAGCCCTCCTTTTTATCCTTTAAATTTAAAATTATATTTTAAAAATCCGACGACGATAATATAAACGGCGATAGTAAGGATTCTAAAAATCCTTACAGTATTTCTAAACCTATTTACAGTTATATTTCTAATATTTATAGGACTTTTAAAAATTTAGACTACGTTTATATTTTTAAAGACCTTAATTCTTCCTTTTCCCTTAGTATATTCTCGGCCTCAATAAAAAAGTTTTAGACAACGGGGCTAGGAATTCCGTTATTTACGGTAGGTATAGCCTCGATTTATAGGACGTTTATTTGTACAATATGTATTTAATAGAAAATTTTTAATTGTATAATCAACTCTTTAAGGGAAATATTAAGGGTCTTATAGATTTCTTTAATATTATTATTAAGAAAAACCTCGTTTTTATTAAATACGACGTTTCGTATAATAGTAATAGAGTTAGTATAGGGATTCTAAATCCTATAAATATTTATTAATTAGTATCTAATTAAATAATTAACCTAAGTACGATCTTTAAGCTTTATTAATTTATTCTATTCTTTTAGAATTTCTATTATAAGAGTAAAGGCTTTATAACTATATATTTTAAAATATACGATAGTAGGGGAGGGGTTTAATAGAGAAACGATACTATTTTTAAATTAGTAGTACGTTTCGAATTGGTCTTAGGGAGATTTCTAATAATATTTTATTTTAGGAGTTCGGTTATACAAATATACAATTATTCTAATAATTTTTATTTATAATTTGTAAGAAATATTTATATTTAATTATATTACTATATCCTTAGTCTTAATTATACCCCCTAAGCGCTTTGCGCTGCCGTTTTAAATTTACGTATAAAGCGTTGAAGGTTCAATATTAATTCCCTTTATAGTAAATTAAATAACAATTTTTTTGCTACTGGTTATTTTGTTATCGTATTCGACTACCCAAAATACGATTTAATATTGAGTTTATAGCTTTATATAAAGGGATTCTAAATACGTAATAATACATTCCGTTTTTTTATTCCTTAAATAATATATTTAAACGAATTTAGATTACCGGTCTATAATTACTATTAAATATATATACTTCTAGCCCCCTACTTTTACTTCTTCACAAAAAAGGAAATCGACGGCTAATTATAATTTAGGGCCCTCTAAGTAGTTATAAATTTTTCTACGCATGTAGCGCTTTAATTTAGTTTTAATATATAGTTTGTAATATATTATATTTAATCCTTTAAATTATACGCTATACTTTTACTCTATTAATTTAATTAAAATTTCAGGTCCTGGGTAATTAAGTCGAAAATATTAGTAAAGGAGCTTACCCTTTTGGGGTTTTTATTTAATATAATTTATATACTATATAGTAAAAGAAGATTCGTTAGCGCTATTCTATAAAGGGATATATTCTAAAATAAATCATGTATATTTAGAGAGAATATAATACATAAGGGAATTTATATGGTGGGAGCGTAGGTAATTATTCTTATGATCCTAATATATTTATTCATTTTTACATTATTTTAAGAAAATGAAGTTGTAGGTTATATTTAGTGTTAAAACGACGTTAGGGAATTAAAACTCTTTATTTCCGTTGTTATCTTAAATTATAATTATAATAATACTATACCTTTCTATAGGAATTTATTTATTTCCCGCCTATACATAATTATTAGTATTTGAAGGGGTAAAGTCTTTGAAGTAATTAACTTTATTAAAGATATATATTATTATATTCAAATTGAGGATTGTAGAATCTCTTAATAAGTATATAGCGCTACGTTTTATTATAAGTATTAAGAAATTACTCTTATTTACCCGGCGACTATAGAATTAATTATTTTAATCCTTATCGTCCTGCTACGTTCGTAGAT